GTCCAGTTGTAAAAATCCATTATATGTTGATGATTATAGATGACTCTTGTCCCACATACGGGAAATGGTTACTAGCTTTCCAAGTTACAACGACGACTGACGACGTCTAGTCAGCGACGGTTGACGGAGGTCGGTGGTGATCAACAGTAGTCGCGGCAATCGATGACGGTTGGCGGTGGTCAATCAAGTTACAACGACGACTGACGACGTCTAGTCAGCGGCGGTTGACGGATGTCGGTGGTGATCAACGGTAGTCGCGACAATCGATGACGGTTGGCGGTGGTCAACGGAGATCAGCGGTGGTTGTCGACTGTTAGTGGTGGTCGACGGCGATCGAAGATGACGAGGATGATCTTGGATTTAAGCTTCTTCTCAAAGCCTCAAGTTCTCTCTTAAGCCTCTCCCCTTTAGATGTGAGGGGTGAGACTCTATTTATAGTGTTTTAAGTACAATTAATGCAGGAATATGACCCATTTTGATCAGACTGTTCGAAGAGCTTCCTTTGATCAGATGACGTTTGATGGACATTTGTCTCTTAACGACGTTGAAATTGAACAATTTTAGGCTCGTTGGATTTGTCTTGTCGAGACGCTCGATTCGACTATGAATTCGCTAGATTCGACATCCGTTTGATCTTTCAAATGCCTTTAGAAATCTTTCAATAGTGATTTAATGACCTGATCTATGCTTGATTTGACTCGGATTTGATTGATTTTCATATCATTGGTTCGTCTCATCGAGCCGATCAGTTTAACTATAAGTTTACTGAAATCAGAACTCCAGACAACTCTTAATCAAAGTTTGAATATTTTTTATTAAAAAAATTGCATCGAGATTCGTGTCGGATGATGAAAATTTGTCGATGGTGGGGTGGTGGCGCTATATCTGTGTGTGTGTGTGTGTGTGTGTGTGTGTGTGTGTGTATTCTGTCTAAGTTATACTACCATAATATAAATGTAAATTTGAATGTTCATTTGATTCATTCTCCTCTCTAGTCATGAGGATGTTATGAGAAGTTTAGTTTTCTTTCTCAGATGAAGTTTTGTCTTCTATTAGAGAAAATTAATCTTTTAAATGGGAAGATGCACTAAAGAAAATTCGACGGACATGTATTAGCATCTGAATTAGCTGTCGATATAGTCCTACACTAGTTTGTGCGAAGAATCTGCTCCAAAGGGAATGCAAATTTGTACCAAATTAAAAATATATATATTGAAAACAAATCAAATTTCTTACACATGCATTCAATGCCAACATCAACTACTGCTCAAAACAAATTTAACAAACGTATAACGATATTGACAATGAATGAAATCATCATTCTTGAAGATCTACTTTGGATATCCCACAGTGTTCACCAGAGAACTTCGCAAGAGGATCGACTGTAGATATTCCGAGAAAATCTTTTGTCTATCCTTGACCATCAACATATGTGGGGCCCATGACATATGCAGGACCCTCAACATATGCAGAAGCTTCAACATAATAGGAGCGTCCGTCACGTGCTCTGCATTGGACAACTTCAGAGAGTGGACATTTCAATTTGCAGTTTCAATTGAGACCAAATTACAACAAGCTGCTCCTTTACATTCAATAAGGCTCTAGTTGTCACATCAACTGATTATCAGATACAAAAAGATAATGAACTATGAGACCAACCAATCTATACACCTTCAAAATATACTCCAAGATCAAGAGTTCTTCAACAATAACGAAGCGAAGATATTTGATTTTTTTTTTTCTCTTTTTTCAATTCTTTTAGTATTGCTAATTATTTTTGCAATGAAGTTTAAATTTAATTTAAAAAATTTGGTGTTCAAAATTTATTACTTTCAATGTGTAAGTTTGGTCAAAATTAAATTATTTTTCATTTTTAAATTGATTTAAATACTATCCCGTAAATTTAATTTCTTATTTTTCTTCAATTGTTTTTTTATTTTGTTTTTATAATTCATTAAATTAATTATTGAAATCTATATTGTTTACTTATATCCTTTTATACTTATATTTTATGAACTCGAAATTTATTTATTATAATTAATTAAACATATTAACATTTTAAATTCTCATATTTTATTTTAATTTTTGATATTTTATTTTAATTTCTAACATTTTACTTCAAAATTTCTAAACGTTATTTTAAAAAAAATATTAAAATTTAATATTAAAATCTTCTCAAGTTTAAGATTGAAAAATATTATTATATATTTTATTAAATTCTGTTTTTAAAATTAAAATCTTTTTATAAAGATTATTATATATTATTAAATTTTTTATATTATATTATATATTTTTAATAAATTAATATAATTCAAAAAGATTAAACGCAAAATTTGTTTGCATTTAATGTTAAACGTAAACAAATTTTGAGTTTTATTAAAAATGCATCCTGCCCTTGAGAATTTGCTCCTTCCACTTACGGTCTGTTTGGGAGGGAATCGGGAGCGTGGTGCGTGAAGTGGTTGTGGAGTTCGGCCATTTGGCAACGACGTCCCTTTTATTTTGGTTAAACGTCAGCTGCAGATAGAGGCCCGAGAATAGGGTTGGCTTTTTTGCCAATCGAGCTCCGTTGTTCGACCTTTGACCTTGTTGTTATGCCCTAATCCCCCTCTCTTCGATCCCAACTCCCTCATTGCTCTGACGAAAGCTCCTCTGTCGTTCGACTTCGACTCCCTCAATCAGCTTACTCTTTAGCTCGAAACCCTGACCTCAGCTGTTCGTCCCGGACTCCATCTTTTATTCGACCCTGACTCCTCACTTGGTTCCTCTGCTCCTCTGCTGTTCAACCTCTTACAAAAGATATTTATTCAAGAGAATAATTTTAAAAAGTCACGTTATGGGAAAATGAGAAGAGTTGTGAATGCTTTGGTCATAAGCAGTGAAGAATTTTATGATAATGCGATGATAAAAACTCAAAACCTTCTTTGAATTGAGGAATATACTACAAAAATACATTTGAGTGCTCTAATATCAACCTCATCCCAATGTTATTTGTTTATGTGAATAAAAGCTCCAATCACGATAAACGGATTACTGGATGATATCTTTCTTATTTAAATTAAACTACTAGTATTTCTTGAGCACTGAAGATTATTTCATCTTTTTTAGAAAATAAGTGATTAATAGATATGTGCTGATCAATATATGTGTATCTGAGTTTTTGTACTGTTCAGAAGTAAATTTCTGCTTCTAAAGTATCAAATATACGATTATGACAGTTCTGTTACAAACAACATCACTAAACATATGTTAAATAGTCATTTATCCAGTAACAACTGAAACAAACAATCAGTCAGCTTCCTCGCAGCAGCTAATAAACTGATAAGCCGTAGTTGACCCAAACAGACCTTTAATCCCTCTTTAGCTAGCCTTTTTTTACTAATTACTGTTAATTAAGTGCCTCATTTATAAATTACCCGATGTAAATACACAAAAGTTAAATAATGTGTATGTAAGTCTTTTTTTTATTATATCGCTTCCAAGCCATTGACGACCCGCCCTCAACTCCATCGTGGCCGAGCAAATAACGTCGGCGTTTTCACGGGCAAGTCATCTCCACGTACCCAAAATCGTTACTTTCCATGCACTGACGTGCCCAGTACGCCGCTTAATTGCCACGTGTTGAGCGGAGAATCTCCACCTCTCCACACCTCGCCACGTGCCCGCCTCAGCATAAACATACCACTTTGCCCGCCGTCTCTCATCAAATTTCCAGAAAAAAATAAGTCAGATATTTTTTTTTATTTTTACGTGTAGGAAATAATTTATCATATCAATTATAATAAATATTTTAAATTTATCCACAATTTTTTTTAATTATTTAAACATCATGATAGCATGATCTAATTTTGAATTTATCTGGAAAATATAAATCATATAATTTTTAGTTATTTTAAATTAATATCATCTGTCCAATTTCTTAAGCCCATCAGACTCATATTAGCTAATTGTTTAAGGAAATTTACATATTTACAAACAATTCCTATGCAATTACTAAAGATTAGGGTTGTCAATAAAGCTCGTTGTTTGCGAATAGTTTATGTTCGGTTCGTCAATGAGTTCGTGTTTGATTCGTTCGATAAGTAAACAGGACGAACGTGAACAATTTTTTTTTTGTTCGGTTAGTTAAACGAACCAAACATGAATAGCGATGCGTTCGTTCGTGTTTGAATCGTTATTGTTCGAAATATAAAATAATTTAAAATAATTATATATAAAAATTTATGATATTTTAACAAATTGTAATTTATAAATTATAAATTAATAATAATATATTAATATACTATATTAGTTTAATATTAGGAAGTTAAAATTGGCCCGTCGTCCGCAACCAGCCAGTGTTCGGCTTGTTCGTTGAGAAACAAACAGGAACAGTGACTTCAGAAACAATTTCAAACACAAGTTTATTTTAAAACAAACTGAACATGAACAGAAGCATGTTCGTTCGCGTTTAGTTCGTTTACACCCCTACGAAAGATTGATATTTACATTCATTCCGTTGTTATAAATTTATGTATTAAAATGTGCATTTGACTTTTTAAAATGTTCTCAGTTGTTTGGGATAATTTTTGCTTTTTTGTTTTATTTGCTTTTGCTTTTATTGTTTGATGTATTTTTTATATGTTTTAATATTTTCAAAATTATTTTTTTATTATTTTAAATACTTTTAAAAATCCTTTCCAACTCCTCAAACTTCCTTTCCCTCAAAGCAATCGATTTCTCTCTCTATATAACCAAACGCACAAATCAAAAAACTCATACAACAAACACAAATCCAAACACTCTTAACAATTTTAAAAAAACCCAGCATGCCCTCCACCTCCCACCTCCTCCCCCTCCCCCTCCTCCTCCTCCTCCTCTCCAGCCCTT